TCCATTCCTCTCTACCGTTAGCGAAATCCTTGAAGGAACCCTGGGAAGACTACACGCCTGGGCTACGAGAAGCGGCCTAAATGTGAACCCAGCGAAGACAGAACTTATCCTATTTACAAACAGACACAAACTACCACAATTCAAGCTACCATCGCTAGACGGTAATGCGCTCTCATTGTCCCCCAGCGCAAAGTATCTTGGAGTCGTGCTCGATAACAAACTTAACTGGAAAACCAATATCGAATTCCGTAGACAGAAGGCCTACATAGCATACTACACTTGCAAGAGAATCTTCAGTAGAAACTGGGGACTAAATCCTAAACTTGTGATGTGGATGTATACCGCGATCATAAGACCAATTCTAACATACGGCGCCTTGGTTTGGTGGCCCGGCCTAAGCAGACAATATAATGTCAGCAAGCTAAGAAGCATACAAAGGGCAGCAAGCGCAGGAGTAACAGGCGCACTAAGATCCTGCCCGGCAGAAGCTTTAAACGCCATCCTCAATTTAATTCCTATTGATCTCCACCTGAAAGAAGTGGATATGAAATCGGCGGTCAGACTCAGAGAGTCGGGCCTTTGGAGGACTAGACACTTCGGACATGGGTTGATCATAAATCAAATGCAACTAAATAGGACGACAGATTATATGGTAGGCAATTTGGACTTCAGCTGTAACGCGCAAGTGCTATTCCCATCCAGAAGGGACTGGAGAAGAGACCGAGTGGCCGACCGAGAAGAGATCTCTCTATACACCGATGGATCCAAGATGGATTGCGGTGTGGGAGCAGGTGTCTACTCCAAGGATCTAGGCGTGGCTCTGTCTCTGCGGTTGGGAAATAATACAAGCATCTTCCAAGCGGAAGTCCTAGGGATCCTAGAAGCCTGCAAAATCCTAGGCAATAGGGTTGGACACAGCAGTAAAGCAACAATATATTCTGACAGCCAGGCGGCGCTATTGGCAATAGCGTCACCGGTTACCAAATCCAAGCTAGTTGGGGAATGCAAAGTAATATTGCGCTCAGTGTCTCAGTCAAATACCGTCTCTCTTGTCTGGGTTCCCGGACATAGGAACATAGAAGGCAATGAGAAGGCGGATGAGTTGGCGAAGGCAGGAGCCGGTCTGGATGAATCCCAGGCAGTGGCACTGGGTTGCCCTCTTGGAGTAGTCCAAAGAGAGATTACTACGCATTTCCTTGAACTGGCTAGACGCAGGTGGTCAGATATACAGACTTGTAGGATAGCGAGAAAACTATGGCCTGACTATAACAGGGCGAAAACCTTGGACCTGCTTAGCAGATCAAGGCCAGAGGTATTTAGGATTTTAGCAACCATCACAGGCCACTGGCCCATAGGCAAACATGCGGCAAAAATAGGTCTACCCCATAATATAATTTGCCGCAGCTGTCAACTAGAAGATAGCGAAGAAAGTGTCCAGCATTTCCTGTGTGAATGTCCAGGCCTTTCGAACATTAGACACAAGACGTTAGGGAAACATCTAATAGCTGAACTAACCGACCTATCAGGAGCTACCATTAGCGAAATCGGCAGATTCATTAGAGAGTCGAAATGGTTCGACCTAGCAACATAGGAAGTGCACAGACAAGATATTTATCCCCCGCGAGAAGTGCATCAAAATGGCGCAATAATGCGCTAATTGTATCCTGGGCAGCGACTAGGAAGCACTGCAACCATAATAAACTGCAATTGTTTTCGAGAGATAGCCAAATTTCGGTGCACTCACTTAATGGTATATTTTCTTTTATATAGCTGGTCGATCTCAAATTTCTTTTTACAATAGCGAAGCACATTAAATTTACTATATTCTGCATAAATGATATTTTCCAAACCGGATAGCAGTTTAGGAGCTAATCAATGATTCATCGGAAATTTTGCATGATTTAAAAAAATATAAAAAGGTGACTGTTAACTTTTGGATTCTTGCACGTCAAAGCATTATTCTTCATTAATACAATAAGGTCCTGCTGATCTAAATTTAATAATAAACGTAGACGTTATGAGCACTTAATTAGAGATACATACAAAAAGTTTCTATACAAATTTATGATTTCCATATTATGGAGAACACACCTTTTACTACAATTTTGAATCGCTATATCTCAGAAATGGTAATCCTTAGGAAGAAAAATGTTATAACAGCTTTTATAGATAATTGTATGATCTACACTTTCGTCACAGCTATTTTTGTGATAAAACTTACCGTTTTGCTGCAAAATTAAAAAATCAATATATGTGACCTTTGACCTTGAAAAACTTCTTTTTGCAGACGTGGGATCGATGGGGACTTTTAACATCTAATTCATAATAGTGTTCGCAACTTTCGTACCAATTTTCAGCTTTATGTGAATTATTGTAAGCTTACCACTATTTTAAGAGCTAACTTGACTGGGCTATTGATTTGTAGCGCCATCTTGCGGTTCTTTAAATAAGAAAAAAGATAACAGAAATTAATTCTTCGTATCATAAAACCCCCAAATACAAATTTGTATTAAAAAATAACATTCGTAATACTTTAGAAAATATTAATCTGCATATTAGCTTAGCATCAATTAAAAATATCTTCTTTTAAAAGTCTAGAGGAATATTTTTCTTAGAATGTTATGAAGAAGCCGAATCTGCTATGAACGATGTCGAAAAAAATCGATCCATACAAATTGAGCCTAGTCCCTAGTATATATCTTTTTCGGATTTTTGCATTCTAATCTTGTGAAAAGGGGAGAAAAATTGGTTTTCATAATAGAAGGACTCAATTTACACAGCTATTTACACAAATATATACAATTAACCGTTAAAGTGTTCATTTACTGTATCAATGCGAAACACTCTCCACCACTAAAGATGGAACTTGCTCATCTGTATGTATGTGTCTACTATATATATGACCATTCCCAGTATCTTTTCAGGCTAATACTCGTACAGTGTAGTACACAGAACTACATGCGTATGTGAATATGTGCATGGGGCCATACACTACAATGGATTCATGCTCAGGTGCATGTGTAGCATTCATTTCTCTTATTTTCAAATGTTTTCTTTTTTTTTTTAAGTAGCTGAAGCTGCCGAGTGTTGACTATTTTTCTTTTCATTGACATGGAAAGTATCGCCGGATAGACAATGGGCAACAACATGAACAGTATAACTGAAATGAAAACCAAACCAATGGGCTACATATGTATGTAAGTATGTGCCCTTTCCCATTCGCGATCATCACGCTGGCTGGCTGGTCCATCCAATCGAATCGCCTATCAATCCATCCGCGCCTCTTTTCGGGTCTTGTACTCGTAGTTCTTTGCGGTAGCTGCCTACCCGGAAATCAATCAAACTAAGAGCATTCCGCTTGAACATCAATTTTCGATAACATCGAATTGTCGCTTTTTGTTCAACATCGCCATACTCCTCTTTCCACTGCCCGTCCCCCATTCGCACTACCTACTTTGTGTTTGTGGCATTGTTTCGGCTTGCACCAGCAGCCTCGCCAGTGGCAGCGTCCGCGGCATCACTCAACACTGCCAGCAATGGGCAAGCCAAGATACCTTATTCAGTTCAGTTCCGTTCAATTGAAAAGGCGGCTGCGGAAGATGAAAACCCTGTAATGTAATATAAAAACCGCAAAGTGCCTGCGAAATGACCAGCGTACGTGAAGTTACAACGCCTCCCCTTCTCCACTTTACCCACTCCCTTCATTTTGCACATACATATACACACATTGTACACGGGCCGCATGAGGCGTTTTCCTCTCACGACGGGCTCTGTCCTACTCAGTAGCGCAACACCTTGCTGATGTTGGCGCATGCGCTCATCAATGAAAGTAGTCGCGTTGGTTATTACGATTGTTGTAAAAAAAAAGCAAACATAAGCAATAAAGCAGAGAAACAAAAAGTAACAGTTAAAATACGCAAACTCGTGCACCAAGAGCACCAAGTTGCAGTTGCTGCCAGCAACAACAGCGGGAGCATAAATACCATAAAACAACTCGTAGCGAAACATGAAATTAATAAAAAACAAAACACAAGCCAAACTCTTCCGAAAGAAGTTGCTGTGCCACCACACCGGCTGCCATGGATGAAACAGGTGCCATTTGTAGCAATGTGGTGCTCACGATGAACCGGTTTGCTCTCAGTGCTCTTTACACAGACTGGTTTGGTTTGGCATTTTTGTTGTGGGGTGCAACAGTTTACGGTTTCATTGATAAAAAAGCGCATTTCTACCACAAATTTGAACGGCCCACTCACTGCTCATTAGCAGTCGTTAACAGAGTAGCTCTGAGAGAAACCTGTTCACCGTCGTTTCTTCCAGCATGGAATTTAAGCAAGAGAACAGTGGTGGCTATAAAAAAATTCCACGTTAAGCTAAAATACACAGATTTGAATGTTCAGTGTGAATGAACAATGAATGATGTAAAAAGTTTATGAACAAGTATTTGAATAAGAAGTGTAATTAGAAGTTTAAAGAGTGTATGTACATACATACATACATATGTATCTAACTACATACTTTTAGTGCTTTTTTTAACGCTAACGTTATCACTGGATTTTTTTAAAAATTCAAAATTAATTCAAATTAAAAGCCAAAAATTTAAATGACAAAGTTGGGCATTCGAAATGCCTGTGCCATTACGTAAAGAAAAATTGTCATTAATTCCGTTTCCACATGCCGTTTTTTAAATGGAACACCTTTTCGTCGTTTAACTGCAAATATACATTTTTAAAACATTAATAGCAATCTTGGATTCTCCTTGAAAATACTCGCCGCGTTACCTTTGGTTCGATCCTTAAATCGTCTAACTGCGAAGGCTCGCTTTAAAGTGCTCCGTTGCCCACGCAAAAATTGTCTTGCTGTTAACGGAGTCACTGTCTAACCACATTCCTATGAATGGGGTGTACGCACGGGTGAGTTGACGACAACCTGCCTAGCCGCTGCATGCATAGTGAAGCAAGTGCTGTACACTGCAAGAGCCAGCATTGAAGACGAGCTTGGCGTAGTGAGCAATTGTAGAAACACCTTCATTGGGAGTAGCAGAGCGCGCTATCAGCTGATGCGAGTATCGCGAAAATATTAGCAGCTTAGTAGTACAGCGCTGGTTTCCAGCAGATGCGCGTTCAAGACGACGATCAGTTTGAAAACGACTTTCATGCGCAGCGGACGTGCAAACGGAAACATTCGAACAGCCGTGTCGATTGAGTAGCACCTTGTAGAAAAAATTCAATAGTTTGTAAAAAAACAGTGATGAAATTTACAAACGTGAAAGCAACATTCAATTAACAAGCCGAAGGTGACAGTCAGATTATTGCCGCCGAAACGCTGACGAATAACAGCAACGACGCTAATAAAGATAAAAATAAAAAAAAACGAACTCATACGTACATACATATGTATATGTTCAAAGGCGAGTGACAAGTGCTTGCCGCCTGCCGCAGCATCTCTGAATGCCAGAAAAGCCAGTGGTGGTCGAAGAAGAGTCAAAGCTAAAAAAAAAAAAAATAAACTAATATTTGTACATTCGCGCTGAAAAAAAAAATCAATTGAAAGAAAAGGAGAAAATATCCAAAATCGAGATTGTACAGAGTACAAAGGAAAACCGAAGCAAAGGTAAAACTCGTGAATAGTGAATTGTGAAGTGGAGTTGGAACTAGCTGTAGCTATCTACTCGATTGTATACAGGTAATATTGCCGCAACGCATTAGCGTTAGTGTACTGGAAAGTTTTCCCCCATCGAATATGGTGTCTTGAATTAAAAAAACAAAAAAAAAACAAAAAAAAAACAAAAAAGAATAACAAAACATTTGGAGTGATTGATATTACTTGTTGAATATTTCAACCAAATACATTTTATTGCAATTCAATTAAAAATCGTCGCGAAGCCCTTACAACGCGATCACTTTAAAAAAAAAGGAAAACAACAACGCAAATAACCAAAACGTGTGGAAGTGAGGGAAAACGGAGCGTACCGTAAAAACGCAACCAAGTGAGACAAAGTATTTTGCTGGCGAGTTATACGATAGGGCTGCTACCAGTGGCTATCCGAGAACGTTACATAAATCTGAAACTCGACGCTTTCTAGCCCACAATTGTCACAATATAAATACAAAAATCAAACATTCACAACATCGCACATTTTGCAGCTGAACTTAAAAAAGAAAAAAACAAAAAAACAACCAACAAACAAAAATCCGCCAAGTGCGAACGAAAAAAATGCACGCCAGTAAGCTGGAGGCGACAACAATGCAAACACCATTGACAGCTGGTGCAACCAGTACAAAACTGGAGCAACACTCCAAGCCCATACTGAGCCCAACACGATCCCTTGACGAAGGTTTCGAAAGTGATCCGGATCGGGTGTCCACCGATTCAGAGCACCAAACAAGTGGAACGAGTTGCAGTAGCGGCAGCAACAACAGCAGTCAGAACAATAGTAGTCAAATCAATAGCAACAGCAACAGCAATAGCAACGTTCACAGAAGCGGTGTTGTTGCAAAGCAGAGTGCCGGCTCAACGCTTGCGCAGCTTTCGTCGGCGGCGACGGGTGGCCTAACGGCAACAACGGCATCAGCTTCGGCATCAAATATGCCAACAACAACTAGCACGGCTGGTTCATCTGGCGTGTCCACAGTAGCCGCGTCGAAAGCAAGCAGCAAAACTGCAAATTTGCACAAGCAACGCTTGCTGACAATGGTTGCACCGCCGTCTCAAATTACAAGACGTCACCCGGCGATAAGTGTGGCACCTGCTGCCGCCCCTGCCAGCGTCACCAACTGCCTCTCCACTGGCACGGGAGCTGGAGCTGGAGCTGACATGAAACATACACCAGATACAGCAATGGATAAATTTCACAAAGAACTGGACTTGCAACAGCAGCGACGCGGCTCAGCTGAATCCGTGCACAATTCACATAATTATTTGGCAGTAAGTAACAGCAATGGGACCAGCAACACCAACAGCAGCTGCAGCGGCAACGCCAATAATATCAAGCACCAGTCCGCCACTCAATATCGCACAGGATCGAACTTGGCAGCGCTCACCGCAAATGTGGCACGCGCCAGCGTTGCTTTGACGACGCCTACCAACAGCGCCGGCGCCTCCCCACAGCCCATGCAACGTCTACAGTATCAGAAGCAGCGCCAGCCAATGGTGGCCTCCGCTGCCGGCCACCAGACAGTGCACAATCATCGCTTCACCCCCGGCGGCAGCGGTGTCGGCGGGGGTGTGCCCAGCGGATTTCGACGTGCACGCACGCGCGCCATGTCTCCAGCAGTGATGAAAGGGCCGCTGAGCGGCACGCACAGCAGCAGCAGCAGCAGCAACAACGCCGTTGGGGGGCCTGTTGGTGGCATGCAAGTACACGCTTCACGCACTCTGCTATTGCCGCGCAGCGCCAATGTGCGCTCACATTCCGTTGATGCCATTTCACGTCATCGCCATGGCTATGACCCTGCCAATGCGCTCATACTCAAACACGAGGGCGGCGGCATTACCAGCAGCGGCGTGCATAGCGGCCACAGCTTGGGTGGCTCGATTGGGGTGTCGAGCAACATGGCTACAAATACCCGCATGATGAATTACAAATACACCAGCGGAGCGATGGGAGTAGGGGCAGGCAGCCCGGCCGCCGGCCAAGCCCTGCTGGTGCAACCTATTTCGAGTGTGACATTGTCGGCTAGCAATGCGACAGCTTCGCTGCCAGCCGCCACCACAGTGCTCAATACGGCAAGTGTCGGCGATGCCGCTGCTGCATTGGTAGCAGCAGCTGGTGGATCGCCGGTTATCGCTTCGGCCACCAACAGCCTGTACACCTTCTACCCAGCCGAAGGCAATCTGCAAGTGTGGCAGTCAGAGTGCGGCGACCTCACATACAAGTCGTCGCGAAATCAACACACGCACAAGGCGCCGGTCTGCTGGACACAATCTATACCAAGGCAAACGAGACGGTAAGTTGGAAGCTTTTTGTTACTTCAGTATTATGTATATTAATTATCCCAGCTAGTATTTCACCGTGCGACAAAACCAAAAAAAAAAAAATTCCAAATACATGAATCAGTCAATATACTGACGAAACTATGGGCCAAATATAGTAAAACTACGTTTTAAGTTTTTCTCTCTGACGTCAGGATTTTTGAAAGGACGTTGTAGTTTCAAAGATATGAATAATTCCTAAAATTATGTAAAAACTTCATTCCAATATAGAAAAATAGTATGGTTACTAAATGAAAGAAAAAATTCTGTAGAATTAAAAACCATTAAAATTTTTTGGTACGCAAAATGTCATTTTAATTAGTTTTATTTTTTAACCGAAAGTTAAAGTTAGCACAACGAAATTCGAGGATGGGGTCGAGTGCATATTAGTCGTAAAGATATAATTTTTTCGAAAATAAATATTTTAAAATGTCAAGGGTATTCAATGATAAAATGTTAAAAGGGCATTTTCAATACCTAATCGTCCGTATGCACAAATTCTACGGAATTTTCTCTTTAATTTGATAGTCATACCGTTTTTCTAAATTGCACAAAATTATTTTTTAATAATTTTTTGAAGTAATTACATATATTTTTCAAATTTCAAAGTCATTAAAAAAATCGTGACGTCAGAGAGAAAAAAATAAAAACTTAGTTTTACTATATTTGGCCCATGGTTTCGCGAATATATAAAATTTTATGTGTGTAAAAGTAATTGTCGCACGTTGGTTTCAGCCATAAGCGACTCGAACATCAGTATTCTTAGGGCGTAATAAATCGTGAGAGACTGTCTCTTGCGATTGAGATGCGACGCATCTGGTAAAGAAAAAATCCTACAGCCCTAGAGCGCATGTGCCTTAACGAATATATAAAGTGTACATATGTATGTAAGTAACAGAAGCGATCACAAAATTATTAATTTTAATATGAAATACCAAACAGCGGGTGATTTACTGAACTGGCATCCAAACACACGTAACAATATTTAATAGATTGGCTCTTACACATACGTTAGTGTTTGGCCGAGCTTCTCCTCCGATGTTGTCACACAAAGGAGGGATCTACAATTTTCCGACGACTCCGAACGGCGATTGTATTTTTATGAGAAGCTGTTAAGAAAAATCCTTTTTTCTATATCGTTTTTTTTGCGCTATGTTGATTTGATTACACCACATCGGCCGCCAAACATACATAAAAGGGGGATTTTTGGATGCCGACATTATCTGTTAGCTCTCCGCATATTAATTTAATTTTTTTCTTGCTTATTAAGTTTTTGTAATGGGCTGGACGAATGCGAAAAACTTAGTTTTTTTCTTCGGAGCTTGGTATTATTCTTGGAAAATATTCTATGACTCGCAAATGAAGTGAGAATGTCATAAATAGCCCCTAACAATCCGTCAAAATCTGGCTGGGATATGTCTAATAAATAATTGGGTGCATATGTGAGGTTGATTATGTAATATTGCGTTAAAAGAAGTTGCGTGCTGCGAGCGACTCACAACCCGATAATCGATAGGTCAGAAATGCTTTGTGGTCACTTCTGGTGGGTGGGCTGGCGGCGGCGTCGGCGTCAGCAATTAATTTGCACTTAGCCAGCACCATTTAATGGAGCACGAAATGTACATAAAAATACCACTACGCTATCGTAGAAGGTAATTGCAAGATTGGCACTTTGTTAGCTTTTCGCTTTTGGGCGGCCGGCTTGTCCAAAGCGTGTTGAACAATGTTTGTCTTGTTTTCTACGCTGCGACTTTTAGGGCGAAATTTCAGATTTTTTAGTTTCTCAACTTTTTGCAACGCGTTTTAAACGTTGCATTACTTTGCCTCGGAGCCGAGTGAATTGTTGCAAGAATGCGCACAATTAAAAATGGTGCTTGGGTAAATACCATTTTTGCGCCATAGGCAAGTCTGTCCACTGAGCCTCTCACTTGATTGTGTGGCTATGCGCATTGCCTTTTGCTTTTTCAATGTTTTTGTTTGAATTTAATGGGTATCATTCCACTGCACAAAATTGCGAAACTGCGTAAATGCGAGCAAAAAGGAGGTTAACATCGGTATAAGTGATGTAGCTAAAAAAGAAAGACCGATCACTTATGTATGTATGTATGTACTACATATGAAGCTATGAACTTACAGACAGCGTAGTTTTAAAGAATAAGCTGTAGCTGAAACACTATATTCAAAAGTAATACGTAATGTGCGCTAGTTGTTATATATCGACTAAAGAATGTAAAAAAAAAAATTTGTTACAACGCAAAAAAAAAATTAACTAAACACAGGTTCTTCTAAATAAATCGAAATTAAGCCAAGTCAAGTCATATCAAACAGGTAGTAGCATCAGAGCAAAAACAACATTTGCATTGCGTGTATTTTGTTGTTGCTTCTGTTATCGAAAGTGTCAAAAACTGTTTTAATGTTTTTTCTTCTAAATCAAAGTGTGCCATGTGAAATACAAAAAAAAAAAAAAGATAAAGAATTGAGATTGGAAAAAATAAAAATTGTTGCAACTTTCTTTCTTAGTAAATTTGTTTGCTTCTCGAAGCATTGATCTATCCTTTGCAAGGCCCAGTAATCAGCTGCTGAGTTGGGCGAACGTTCCGAAAGCTGCTATTCAAGGTTTTACATACAAATAGATTTTAACAATATAGAATTTTTGTGAGAAAAAAATTTCAACCATTTCGACATTTTTGAGACCAAATAGTTTGAAAAAAATGAAATCAGCTGTTCTTCTTTTCCACGTGCCTTGAGCCAAGCGAAGAACCGACAATTTGCTAAATTCTACACCCAAGTCTCATACATTTTTGATTGGTTTTTTAAAAACTTGTTTAAAAGTTCGAAGAAGCATCATATGGCGAAGGTTTTTTAAATGAGGACAATGCAAGGATTCGCAAAATAGAATGAGTTTTGCCATGATTTGATAGTAGGTCGGTACAGGTATCCCCCGGTTAACTTACCGCCGAATTAATGCTTTTCAACAAATAACTCAGCCAAAAAGTGATTACTTCACAAAAAAATTGTGCAATAAAAGTTCAGTCGTTCCGTTTAAGAGTCTTTGCATTCTCCAAGCAAAAAGTCCTTCGCGATATGATCTTTTGGAATTTTTCAAAAAGTTCTTGTAAAAATAAATAACTAAAATTTATCGAGATGCATTAAGAAAAATTACTAATAACTGAGGACCGAGGTCCGAGGAACCGAGAAAAATATGTTTGTATTTATTTAGATTGCACTGCATTAGTTTCATTTGTGTTGAGTTTAGTTGGATTTGCGTTGAGTTTTCGTTAATTTGCGAATACTAAATATGTACATAGTTAAATACATATATACGTATGTTCATGTCTGGTTGTGATTATTTTGTGCATTTGTATTACATATGTAAGGCATTTACAAATTAGGAAAACTAACTAAATTAACGCTTCAAGAAAAACTGCACATACATACATACATATATATGTTTTTGGACATTTAAAAAAATTGGATAAAAATTGAATACCATACGTGAATAGCTCAGCTGGGAGACGGTCAGCTTCAGACAATTTGTTGTAAAACAGCCGCAAAATTGCTGTGTACTTTGTCATACCGTTTCCTTCTTCAACTCCCTTTATCGATACCACTGGCTCGCGTTGCGACCGACCACAATCTTGCCCTTTTGACGGCTGCTCATCGTACCAGTTGTTCGTTCGAGCTCTCTGAAATAGAACTATCTTTCACAACGGACAGCCAGTCGGCTTCCACATCTGGAGGGAGATTCTGTAACAAGTTTCGCACCGCTATCGCACTTGTTGACGTAAAAATATTCATATCATACGTCAACAAAAGCGATACGGATCCGAAAATTGTCGCTAACTGGTTACAACATCTCCCCCCTGATATATGAGAACATTCATCAATATTCATTGCTGATGTGAATAAATTTTCAGTTCAATAAGCTTATAGTTCAGTACATACATACAATACATACGATGATCTACACCTTGTAGATTGTCTCAGAAGCTTATTTTGTGAGTTTATTCCTCTTATTTTACGGAGACTTCGCTATTTCTAAGGTGAAGAACAAAGTGTTTGGCGCTCCTTTCTTTGCGAGTTTGTTGACAATTTTTTTTTATCGCCCCCTATGTATTCCAGAAAGCTCAGCCCAAGGGTGTTCAGTTTGTTAGGATTAAGATTACAATGTTCTGGCTCCGGATATTGAAGTTCGCACATCTTTTTACAAAGTACAGTGTTTTTGCCTACAATGGAGCATCGTTCTTCCTATGGCTCAGAAATAATGAATTAATTAAAAAGAAAATTAAAATTAATTCATTATTTAGAAAAAAACTTAATTTTTATAGCTACATACATACTTATGTATGTTTAACGTTTTTGTTATTTAAATCATTGATTTAATTTAACCAACAACTTTCGCCTTCCAATGTGTTAATCTAGTGTGTTAAAAGATCTCACGTTTACCAGCGTTACCAGCAATTTTGAATCGAAAAGTTGACACCACTCACAAATTATGCAAAAATATTTATACATGCGTACATAAATATTTAGCTTTCGCTATCTTAAATTTGATGACTTCTTAAATCAATTCCATCATTGCGGTGTTGTGGTTTCTGCTGCTATTTTTGGTTTTGACTAACGAACTAGTTAATTTTTTGATATAAATATTTATAATGCAAGCCAAGCCGTCCGGCATGGAATAAAGGGGAAAACAAGAATTTTTACGTTTTATTCAAAAAATCACATACAAGCATACATACATACATATGTATGTACATACTTATATGTATGTATGTAGAGAAATCAGTAAAATCTATATACATGTATACTAAAAGAATGCTAATATTTATGAAAGAATATTAAACTATGAATTAAATTATAATTTGCGGTGGAACAAGTTTTGAAAATCAACATGAATAAATTGTTTGAAAAATCAAGCAGAAATTTGTGTATATAGTATGTGTAGGTTTTAATGAAGCAAATGCTTACACTG